GTAATCTAGTCCTATGCTGTACACCTGTTACTGCTGCAAGAGTGGGACACTGGAAAATTAGTGGTCTGTTGTAGCAATGAATACTTGAATCAATAGTGGAAGAAAGTAGGAATATGCTAGGAAAGGTATCATCTTGCAGTTTCTGTGTTGATAGACCTCTGTGAGCATTGTCACTAATTTCTCTGGCATAGGTGGGTGCCTCTCCTATGAGCACTTCAATATGATGCAAAGAAACAGTTGTTACCCCTCAAAGAGCTGAGTTGAGGGATTGTTCATATCTAGAGAGGAGGAAATGAGATTGCCAGGTAGGAGACCTGAGTTCAGTTCCCAGGTCTGACTGTGCTGTTTTTGAAGACTAAGTTATGCCTGATCAAAACAAAAGACATTTTGTTTTGCTCAAGGCGTTCAATTTAATTACACATTAGGCATTCATTTTAATTACGATGTGTAGCAATGGGTGCTGTATATTTCTTTTAAGGCATATTTTAGTTGAAACACGTCAAGAGTTTCAACACAAGATATCTTGGTAGACAAAGGAAAATGGTAAGGGATACAAATATTGTTAAAAATGGAAACATTGTTAGACTTACCAGATGTCAATATGGTTTTAACCATTACCATACACAAATGTATGTCTCTTTCAGTGGGAACTCTTGTACTTTTTAACCAGCAGAGATCTCAAATGGCAATTTTGTAGTAGCCTGGTATGTGTGCTCATGTGTCTGTGCATGTATAGAGTCTACATCTCACATTGACTTTTTATATTTCTATTTTAGACTGTAAGATACCATGTAGAAATTATTTATTTTGCTGTCAGGTGTGTGTCATTTTTTAAGATAATTTGGAATTTGGTACCAGGAATGTAAACTATTTTCATGAGCTGTTCTCACACAGTGTTAACATTAATTGTTCTTTTTATCTTTTAATTCTTCAACAGACAAATAATTTGATGAAAATTAATGATTTTGTCATTGTACTTAATGAATAAACAAAAGTATATATGTATGCTTAGTATTTAACCTTAATTTGGTGTTTCCAAATGGACTCATTCTCATTCTGGTGGAGGGAATGTGTGCACTGAAACTTTCAAGTGTATTCTTACCCCTCATCTTTAGGAACTTAAGCCATCCCAGCTGAGTCAGGAGGCTAGTCCTGTAGGATCCCTGATAGGAGTGGAAAGATACAGCAATCTGCAGTATTCGGGACCTCCTCTAGAACTACTCGGAGGCGTGTACAGTGCTTCTATATTAATATTTTAGGATTAGAAATACATTTTTAAAGAGAATCTTTCAGTCATTTTCGTTTATTGTACTATCACAAAGTGCATCACAAAGTGGTCTTACAGAGAATGTAGTGGAGTCCTTTTAGATGATAGAATGAAGCCAAAATGTGCACCTACACTAATGTTTCCTTTATTGGGTGCCACATTTCCTAAAAATGGGAAAAGAAACATGTACTAGATGGCAGGATCCACTTGCTAATCGCACCCCTCCTTTAATAAACTTCCATGATACACAGGATTTGATGCAGAAGCCCGGAATTCTTCTCATTACCCACTAGATGTCACCATTGACACAGAAAAATTTATGAGAATATATTTTTCTGCCTTTCTTAAAAGCAAGATCGGTTGTTCTCACGACACCTTGATCAAAGCACAACTCCAGTCCAAGAAATTCTAAGGAATTTGTTATGTTCTCTTAAAGCTGTGTGTCCTCTGACCCTGTTTGTTAACTGGAAAATGTTGAAAGTATTTTACAGGAAACCACACCTGGAATATTCTCTTGAGGCTTAGCCCCACGTGGTAGTAGGCTTCTCCATTTCTTACCCTATTTACTTTCCTCTGTTTCTCTTACATCCAAAGCCGTTTGAATTGCCTGTTCAGTAAAATAAACAGATAAATCCTGTTAGGTACCTTGCTAATTGGAAGCTTAAAATAGGCAATATCCTATTTTCCTTATTATTATCTATTATAGCTATCATGTCAAAGCCCACTATGAGAACTTCCCCTGTCTTTATCATTAACACAGTTACACTAAGATTATGGATAAAAATGGAGATAAAAAATATTCAGGCAGCTTTATTTGCCTAGGTTTAGCTGGTCTGTGTTTGAATGTTCTTTAATTGTACCGGAGGTATTCTTTGTTATAATCATCATATTTTTAGATAAATTTTCAGTGATTTTGTTTAGGTTGATGTTTTATGTGTGAACACGTTTTAAAGTCAGAAAAGGCAATTGTCATGATCAAGAGGGTAGACCTCTTGATAACACTAAGGAGCCCTTGGGTGAGCATGTTTTAGCAGTGTACAGTAATGACTTAGCTGACTTAGTGTGCTGCTTTTTTGATTTTCTCAGGGATCACCTAAATTACCAACCATTTGGCTAGAATTTCTGTTGCATATCACGGTAGGAAAAAAGATCATAATGGCTGTGAATCTGAGCAATTGTTTGTGAAAGGGCATTGCATTAGAGCGTATGTTTCAGACGATGTTGCTTTGTAGTCCAAACGAAGGCATATTTTACTACTTGTGCAGATACTGCTCCTGCAGTGAAAAAGTTGTCTGAAATCTGGAATGAATTTTGCTGCTTCTATGTTCTGTATCTGTATTTTGCCTTTTTTTCTCCTAGATTTAAGTTCTCTAGTTACAGTTTTTCCTGCATGCTACTTGAGACCAAAGTCAACTAATCTCTGAACCTTGTGTGAATAATTGAAATGGACTAAATTTAAGTTTATTTCTTTAACACATTTTTCCAATTTATTAAAATGCATATATATTAGGCTTTCATTTAATATTGAAGACTTTAAACACAACTACTGACGTTCAGTTGTTTTATTCAGAGAAATAAAACTGACAGAGGATAATAATACTTTGCATTTAATTAGTGTATTACATCCAAAATTTATGAGCATCATGCAAACATCATCATTGTTCTTGCATTGTTACTGTAAGTCTTGTCGTACTCACTTTACAAAATGGGCACCGGTGGCACCAGGGGACTCTAAGTAGCTCGAGATCATTAATTAAGAACATAGAATTCAGAATTTCTCCTCCAACTATTAAACTACCACTTTTCACTTCCGATGTAATAAAGGTGTTACACAAAACATCCCTTCAGCTCTTGACAGTACTCAGTTGAAGGTGTTCCAGTTCCATGAGAACGTTGTTGTTAAGCTAACTGAGCAATTTCAGAAGCAAGAAAGCAGTCAGGAAATGGTGAATCCATCAGCACAACGAAATGAATGGGAGGACATTCTTTTCACATTGAACCTTTAGGATGCCTCTCTAATCATCCTTCCCAAAATGCATGGAAAATTGTATAAACTCACCATTACAAGCAAATGTGACTGTAGCTGTTCTGATTTTCTTCTCGAAGCTAACATGCTCCTCAGTGTTTGCTCAAAAGGATTCTCTCAGCTCCACAGCAGAAGAATAGGAATGAATGTTTTACTGGTATGCCACAAACAAGGTGGTGCACCATGTTGAGGTAATCAGCTGATATAGGGCCTGAGATGTCCTCTGCCTCAATTTTCCCCCCACTCCTCAATCTGTATACTCTTTTTTTATTTTGGTGTTATTGTAAGCTTCCTGATGAGTTAGCTCATGCGACATATGCCACTATGTACTTTTTTGCTGAGGAGCTATGTTTTCTTCCTTTGGGAACAAATCTATACCTGACTGCACTTAGGAAGACGGCGTTGATTCCTGTTGTATAACAGGGCATGTCTGTTTTCGAGAATTAGTTAGTACTTAGAAACAGTTAAATCAATGGATGAGCAAGTGCTCAAAGTTGGTAGAGTGAACATTAGCTGCAAACTTCTCTGTCAAGGCTGCCACCCAGCTTTTCCAGATTAAACTGTTTTTACAGATGTTTGTCATTCAAGTTGTGGACAAGGTCCTGTGCAACATAACGTAATGTCAAGGCCAGCCCAGCTCTGAGTCATACGTTGTACTTAGATGTCTTCCTGAGATCCCTTCCAACCTAGAGTATTCTGTTATTGTGTGTTTCTCCTGAAATATTTCATAGCATTTACAGCATGATTTATAAAATGCAATTAAATATAAAGGATAGAACAGGTAAACATACTTTATGTATTTTATTTTCTGTTTTGCAAGCTTGAGTTGTTGCTCATGAGTTTGCCTTATTCTAGCAGGAAGAGTTTGCCTACTACAAGATAAGGATATATGGATTAGTATTGCCACTGCACTTTTAGATTATTTGCCAACTTATAGGAAGAATAAAATATGTATACTCTATAATCAGGTATATTCTGTAAGTCTAGAAACAACAGCATACCCTTCTTGACTATATAGTGATAGTATGTTGAGTATGGAAAGTTTTAGCAAAATTTCTAGGACGTAAAAATACTAATTTTTTTTTAGTGACGTTAACATGTACAGGTATAAATGAAGCAAGCATGGTATCAAAGAGATATGGTAAGTTACAATATGACTTGACATTTCAAAAAAGTTTATGAATTGGGGGAAGCTATAAATAGATAGGTTAGTCTGTTTAAACAGTTGAAGCTTCTTTCTCTGACTGTGCAAATTACCTCTGCTTGCAGATCTCACTTCACAAGCCATGTGTTCCCGTGTTTAATGGAGTAAGTTGAAAGAGAAAAATATATTTGGCGAATCACAAAAACATCAGTCTATTTCTTCCCTTTCTGTAGCTGAATAATTTATAATGACTGAAGATCTCTATTTGTATCTCCAGCTTTTGTTCTACATGATGAAAGAGGTAATATCAAATTGTACAATGGTACAACAGTGTAACAGTTCTGAGATTGCCCCTGTGTTTTTTGGATTTCTGATCTAAATTATTTCTTCTTCAAATGTGTTAAAGCTGTTAAATGCATGTTTCCCACTTCTACTAGCACTTCTTTAGAAATTACAGTCTTCCAAAGTCTTCTGCTTTACCTATGTTGTTTGTCTTTGAAACTGGAACATTTTGTTTGGTTGGACTTTTGAGCTGCTTTTAGCTCAAAAGAATCGGACCACCATCAGTGAATGTGAAGGATCTTTTTGAACGTCTTCTTGAAATTCTGGTTACAAAGAGGATACAGGAATGGATTTAAGGTGGAATTCACATAGCCAAGCCATATAGTGAACATGTGTAATTTTGAAAATTGTTTATGGCCATGTAAAGCTATTACCATAAATAATACAAAATATGGAATCCAGCACAGCATAAAGGCTGCCATTATGACCCCTAACTGCTTAGCTGCTTTCCTCTCCCTGTTCCCATGCAGTCCTTGAATGTGCCTTTTGGAATGGGTATGCAGACTTTGCCAGGTTTTCCTCAGGTAAGTCAGTCCTTTGAAATCCCTGTTCTCCGTCTTTTCCTGAGGACTGCAGGCTCTTTCAGGCTTAGGATTGGAGTGTTCTCTGGAGGATACCTCCTCTGTGAAAGTATGGTTGTGTGATGCATCACTTAAGTCACTGTCTTGTGAGCCCGGCTCCTCTTCATTTTCATTCTCTTTTGTTACACTCATGCACTTATTTTCCGCTTTATCCAAGCTTTGCTTGTCTTTGGGAGGAGCGTTCCCATCTAAGATTTGCTTTTGGAGACAAATACTTTGCTCGTTCTTTGTCTTACTGTGATGTATGGAGTTTTTTTCTGAGAATGACTGGTATGATCCATTGATGAGCTCTCGGTGTTGACAGTGTTTTCGAACAGCTCTGAATATTTTATAGTAGAACCATAACATTATGATAGACGGTACATAGAAGTTGACAATAGCTGTCAACACTTTAAACCAGGTGACTTTAGAGAATTCAGTTTCACACTTATATTTCTCTACTTTCCTTTCCCCATTATTAGCAAAAACATGCCATCCTAGGATTGGAATGACCCACATGAAAGAGAGCAACCAAACACCCAAAATCATTAGCGATGCTCTCATTTTTGTCCTATACTTGAGATATTTCAGTGGTTGCTGAACTGAACGGTAACGGTCAATGCACAATATGAAGAGATTGAAAATGGATGCAGTACAGGCCACATAATCCATAGACAGCCAGAACGAACAGGCTGGTAAGCCTAGAGGCCACACAGGACTTAGGAGATAAACAATATTCAGGGGCATTACAGCTGCACCAACTATAAGATCTGCAATAGAAAGGCTGACAATGTATAAATTGCCAACTGTTTGCAGCTTCTTTTCAGTTTTCACAGCACATAGTACTAATATATTCATGACAATAGTGATCAGTGAAATGCTTCCCAGGAACAGACCTAGAATTGCTGAGTGAGGGTTAGTTGAGTTCTCTGTTGTGTTTTTTGACATCTTTTGCACAAGAACCCAGAATGCAAATCAGAGAAGGTGTCCAGGCTTCGGAAATTCAGTCTTGGTTTACAGTCCTGGACTGGTTTGTGATTTTTATTTCCAGAACTATAGAAAAGAAAAGAAATATGCTCAATCACTGTAGTACTAAAACCAAATGATAAAACCAAATTGTGCTTCAGCTTAGCACTGTCCCTTTTATGACTTTCCTAAATAATGAATTTATATAACATTTTACATAGGGGTAATTTAAGGTGTGTTCTGTGAAAAGTACTGGAGCAAGCTTCATGAAGAAATCCAAAATAGTTTGCAGAGGGGTTTCATGGGACTTCATATAATTCTGACCCTAGAATCTGGCAAAGAAATTTCAGTTCTTACTGGTTTAGTTTATTATATCTCATTAACCAGCTGATCATGAACAATAACATAAACTACCTATTGGCAAACCAATTGAAAGTGTGTTAATAAAAAGCAAATTAACATGTTTGTACTAAATAGTTTTAAACAAATGAGTGATTATTTACAAACTGCATCTAATAGTTTGAGAATGTAGCAGTTGGATATGATTATCCACCAATAATAGGGTACCATATGATGTCAAGCAATGAGGTGTTCCAAACAATAAAAAGACTTGAGCCAGTATACACCTTTAGCAGATACAGAATCCCAAATAGCTCCTAAGGTTGCAGCCAGTGCTTATGTTTTGTAGGCAGTTGTTCAAATTATAGGTAACGAGTAATCACTTCCTACCCAATTTAGGCTTACACAGATTTCAAAAATTTAAAGGGGCAGCCCCATTTTATTTCACAAACAAACTAATAAAAGATCAAGCAAAATAATAGGATTTTTCAGAATTAATAAGCATCTTGCAACCTCTCAAACATGTATAAATATGAGGTCTTTTAGGCTGAAGTTTACTAGTCATTCATGTGCCTAAGAAACATGTGCAAGAGCTGTTCTCCAATAACTTGGAGAAGCCACATGACTCCTGCATGCTTGCTGTTGCTGTTTGATGCATTACAGTGGAAAGTAAATTGGAAATAGGAGTTGAGACTGAACACATAGCGAATGTTTCCTTTACCTAAGAAAATTTTTTATAATTAATCTTTAATAGATGAGCTGTCTGTATTTGCTTAGAACTTTGACATGAGCCATGTGTAGAGCCTTCAGAATGAAAATTCTTTGAAATATTCTGTATCCCCATGATTAGAAGAGTGCCTAGGAATTCCAGTACATGCACTGCAGTTAAAAAAAAACAAAAGGACAGTCTACTAAGCACTCACCATGGCATACACAGAACCTATTTTACAGTGGGCCACATTTGCCCAGTTAGGCTTGTTTTCTAGTCACATTCATGTCTACATACTATTTTGCAGGTGTTCTCAAAGAGTGGCAGATTTCATTTGTACAGACACAGTGGTGTGTAGCTTTATGGCGACTTGATCTGCAATGGGAAACAACTATAGGTGCATACCTCACTTGTGAACATAGAGGTTATGTATCAAGGTCATAGGCTTAATTATGAAATGTGTTATTTCTTCCATTTCCTAACACAAGCATAGTAACTCAAATATTGGCAATGAAAGGGGAAAAGAAGGGAGGGAATGTAGAGGTAAGAAAAGCACCTTTCAAAGTTGAGTAGATGTGCTATTCCATTATCTAGAGATTCTCTATGCCTTTGGTATCCTCTACTTCCCAACTGCTAACTTCATGAGTTGATCTAAAGTCCAAAAAAGTATTAATAATGTTTTAAGTCTTGGAGCATACAATCAGTTGACCAATTCCGTCTCCAGGATATATAAGAAAAATGTCTGTGAGGGTGATACATGTTTTCTACCATTTTTCTCTTACAGTGCTTGTCTGAGTTTATGTTCTGGTAAATTTCTCAGCAATGAGGAAGGAAACAGACTGTAGACATACTAGCTCAAAATATTTACATAACTAACACTGAGAGATATGTATGGGATTTCTCATCTTTGTTATTCCAAACATGGTCAAAATAGTAAGTGCAATAGATGATTCAATATTTCCTATTGAGATTCAATAATTCAATATTTCATGCTAACTTTATCTCTTTCTTATTCCAGTAATCGGGACTGAAGCTAAAATGTTTGTGTGCTTTTTTACAAGAGGTCAAATTCCTTCTTCCTCAAGCTTTACTTATAAGTGTTTGGTATTATGAAAGAAGACGTGTGCTTGGTAGTAGTAGCATCCGTAGGCAGAGGAAATACGTACATTTGGGGTATGAGCTCAAGAGCTGTATTCTGTAATTCTGTATTCTGTACAGCCTTCAGGTTCTGTCATGTATAGTTCTTCAATGGCAGCTAGTCACAGGTGTCAGAAGATCAGAAAGGCCTCAAGCATCTCCTGTTTGAGAACGAGAACAGAAATTACTCCAAGGATCTTAAACTAACGTGCCTGGTGATGGGAAATGGTTATATTCCAGTCTGTCATTGTCTGTCTTTCCACGGCTATACACTATAATCTCTCTGCTGGACATAGGTATATGGAGTGCGGTCAAGTCAAGAAGTTGATGTTAACTGCTTCAGGGACCTCATAAAGCAATGACTGATCTTTACCCCCACATATTTTCGTTTAAATTTATAGTAAAAGGGAGAAAAAGCAACTTTAGCTGAGTCTTCAACAGAAAGAAAGGTATCTGATTAGACAGCTCTCCTCCGTTATTTATGAACTGCACATGGAATAAAACATAGAACAGGAAACAGAAAAAGGTGTTGAGTGCTTCCCAAACCTTCTCTTTAGCACTGCTGCAGTGAGATACAGTAGGATTTAGGAAGCAGCCTGCAGAACTTGATCTGGAGTACTTCTGCTCCAAAGGCAGTAGTTTTTCAGAAGTCTAGTTTTTCAACTCATGCTCCACTTTTATTAAAATGTGTTTTATTAAATGACAAAGCTTGATTACTTTTCTGTTTTGGAGGAGCTTATACAGGCTATAACAATCTGTCCTGGTTTGGGCTAAACCAGAACTAATTCTGGTTTAGTGCTTTAACTTCGCAGTTAAGTCTCCTCTAACTAACGGCACTTTCTGAAACAGCAGCATGTTTTTCCAGACAGTGACTGCTTCTACCAGTGATAAGGCCTGATGTTTATAGTTCGTACCAAGGAATGGTATGCAGAGAGGCCCTTGCTTATACTTGTTCTTGTAGCGACCAAGGTCACTGCTGAATCTTGTACTCCATGTTGAGGTGCCGTAAGTGAAAAGGGTCACAAGCACATAAAAGGTCGCACCTGCAGGGAGGAGTGAACTGGACAGGTGACCCAAACCTGACCAACAGAGTATTCTATCCCCTATACATCATATTCAGTATAAAGCTGAGAGATCACAAAGGTCTCTCTCTCTTCTTCGATGGCCGACATCTGAGGAGGATTCTGTCTGTTCTTCTGTCATCGATCCTGGTCCGTGCATCCCTCGATCCAGCGCCTGAGTCCAGCTCCTGCATCCCGTCCCTGTCTGCTGCCGAGTCCAGCCTGGGACTGCCCCAGTGCCAGCCCTGCAGCGTGGTGGTGACGTATCATCATCAGGGT